TTTTGGCCCCCGGTGGCCTATATTCAAGCTTAAGTGTGAAAAAAGTGCATTTTTAGACTTAGTTTTCAAATTATGAGTCTTGTGCTAGTTCCGTAAGTTTAGACAACTTACATTGGACCCTCCCGAGGTGGTTGATTCTCGAGACAGTTACCCGATTTTGACCCCCAATTTTTGCCTATTTTCATTCTTAAGTGTGAGAAAAGTGTCTTTTTGGACTTAGTTTTCAAACCAGGAATCCCGTGATAGTTCTGTAAGTTTCCACAACTTAAATTGGTCCCTTCTAATGTGTTTGAGGGGTTCCACCGGCCATCTCGTGACTGTTACATGGCATTGGCACCCGATGGCCAATTTTCATGCTTCAGTGTAAAAAAAGTGCAATTTTTTACTTAGTTTTTGAACCAGGAGTCCCGTGCTACTTCCGTAAGTTTCCACAACTTACATTGGTCCCTCCCGAGGTGTTTGAGGCGTTCCCCGGGCCTTCTCGTGACTGTTACACGATTTTGGTCCGTGAAGGCCTATTTGAAGCTTAAGTGTGAAAAAGTGCATTTTTTGAGTTAGTTTTCAAACCGTAAGTCCCGTGCCAGTTCTGAAAGTTTGCACAACGCACATTGGCCACTCCTGCGGTGTTCGAGGCATTCTCGATCTTTCTCGTGATTGTTACACAATTTTCGCAGCCAATGGACTATTTTTAAACTTAAGTGTGAAAAAAGTGTCTTTTTCGACTAAGTTTTTAAACCGAAAGTCCCGTGCTAGTACTGTAAGTTTTCAAAACTCACGTTTGTCCCGCCCGAGGTGTTTGAGGTTTTCTGAGGGCCTTCTCGTGACTGTTACACGATTTTGGTGCCCGATGGCCTCTTTTCAGGCTTAAGAGTTAGAAAAGTGTATTTTTTGACATAGTTTTCAAACCGCGAGTCCCGTGCTTGTTCCGGAAGTTTCCACAACTTACATTGGTACCTCCCAAGGCGTTTGAGGTATTTCACGGTCCTTCTCGTGACTGTTACAAAATTTTGGCCACCGATGGCCTATTTTCAAGCTTAATTGTGAAAAAAATGACTTTTTCGACTTAGTATTCAAAACGGAAGTCCCGTTCTAGTTCCGTAAGTTTTCACAACTTACATTGGTCCCTCCCCAGGTGTCTGAGCTGTCCCCCGGGACTTCTCGTGACTGTTACATGATTTTGGCCCCCGATGGCCTATATTCAAACTTAAGTGTGAAAAAAGTGCATTTTTAGACTTAGTTTTCAAATTAGGAGTCCCGTGCTAGTTCCGTAAGTTTAGACAACTTACATTGGACCCTCCCGTGGTGGTTGATGTGTTGCCCAGGCCTTCTCGTGACAGTTACCCGATTTTGACCCCCGATTTTGACCTATTTTCATTCTTAAGTGTGAGAAAAGTGTCTTTTTGGACTTAGTTTTCAAACCAGGAATCCCGTGATAGTTCTGTAAGTTTCCACAACTTAAATTGGTCCTTTCTAAGGTGTTTGAAGGGTTCCCCCGGCCATCTCGTGACTGTTACACGACATTGGCACCCGACGGCTAATTTTCATCCTTAAGTGTAAAAAAAGTGCAATTTTTGACTTAGTTTTCGAACCAGGAGTCCCGTGCTACTTCCGTAAGTTTCCACAACTTACATTGGTCCCTCCCGAGCTGTTTGAGGCGTTCCCCGGGCCTTCTCGTGACTGTTACACGATTTTGGTCCGTGAAGGCCTATTTTCAAGCTTAAGTGTGAAAAAGTACATTTTTTGAGTTAGTTTTCAAACCGTGAGTCCCGTGCCAGTTCTGAATGTTTGCACAACGTACATTGGCCACTCCTGCGGTGTTTGAGGCATTCCCGATCCTTCTCGTGACTGTTACACGTTTTTGACACCCGATGGACTATTTTTAAGCTTAAGTGTGAAAAAAAGTGTCTCTTTCGACTTAGTTTTCAAACCGGAAGTCCCGTGCTAATACCGTAAGTTTTCACAACTCACGTTGGTCTCGCCCGAGGTGTTTGACGTTTTCAAACCAGAAGTTTTCAAACTAAGAGTCCCGTGCTAGTTCCGTAAGTTTGGACAACTTACATTGGACCCTCCCGTGGTGGTTGATGTGTTGCCCAGGCCTTCTCGTGACAGTTACCCGATTTTGGCCCCCAATTTTGGCCTATTTTCATTCTTAAGTGTGAGAAAATGGCTTTTTGGACTTAGTTTTCAAACCAGGAATCCCGTGATAGTTCTGTAAGTTTCCACAACTTAAATTGGTCCTTTCTAAGGTGTTTGAGGGGTTCCCCCGGCCATCTCGTGACTGTTACACGACATTGGCACCCGACGGCTAATTTTCATGCTTAAGTGTAAAAAAAGTGCAATTTTTGACTTAGTTTTCGAACCAGGAGTCCCGTGCTACTTCCGTAAGTTTCCACAACTTACATTGGTCCCTCCCGAGGAGTCTGAGCTGTTCCCCGGGCCTTCTCGTGACTGTTACACGATTTTGGCCCCCGATGGCCTATATTCAAGCTTAAGTGTGAAAAAAGTGCATTTTTGGACTTAGTTTTCAAACTAGGAGTCCCGTGCTAGTTCCGTAAGTTTAGACAACTTACATTGGACCCTCCCGAGGTGGTTGATGTGTTGCCCAGGCCAGTTACCCGATTTTGGCACCCAATTTTGGCCTATTTTCATTCTTAAGTGTGAGAAAAGTGTCTTTTTGGACTTAGTTTTCAAACCAGGAATCCCGTGATACTTCTGTAAGTTTTCACAACTTAAATTGGTCCTTTCTATGGTGTTTGAGGGGTTCCCCCGGCCATCTCGTGACTGTTACACGACATTGGCACCCGATGGCTTATTTTCATGTTTAAGTGTAAAAAAAGTGCAATTTTTTACTTAGTTTACGAACCAGGAGTCCCGTGCTACTTTCGTAAGTTTCCACAACTTACATTGGTCCCTCCCGAGCTGTTTGAGGCGTTCCCCGGGCCTTCTCGTGACTGTTACACGATTTTGGTCCGTGAAGGCCACTTTTCAAGCTTAAGTGTAAAAAAGTGCATTTTTTGAGTTAGTTTACAAACCGTGAGTCCCGTGCCAGTTCTGAAAGTTTGCACAACGTACATTGGCCACTCCTGCGGTGTCTGAGGCATTCCCGATCCTTCTCGTGACTGTTACACGATTTTGACACCCGATGGACTATTTGTAAGCTTAAGTGTAAAAAAAAGTCTCTCTCAACTTAGTTTTCAAACCGGAAGTCCCGTGCTAGTACCGTAAGTTTTCACAACTCACGTTGGTCTCGCCCGAGGTGTTTGAGGTTTTCCTAGGGCTTTCTCGTGATTGTTACACGATTTTGGTGGCCGATGGCCTCTTTTCACGCTCAAGTGTTAGAAAAGTGTATTTTTTGACTTAGTTTTCAAACCGCGAGTCTCGTGCCTGTTCCGGAAGTTTCCACAACTTACATTGGTCCCTCCCAAGGTGTTTGAGATATTCCATGGTCCATCTCGGGACTGTTACACAGTTTTGGCCACCGATGGCCTATTTTCAACCTTAATTATGAAAAAAATGTCATTTTCGACTTAGTATTCAAAGCGGAAGTCCCGTTCTAGTTCCGTAAGTTTTCACAACTTACATTGGTCCCTCCCGAGGTGTCTGAGCTGTTCCCCGGGCCTTCTCGTGGCTGTTACACGATTTTGGCCCCCGATGGCCTATATTCAAGCTTAAGTGTGAAAAAAGGGCATTTTTGGACTTAGTTTTCAAACTAGGAGTCCCGTGCTAGTTCCGTAAGTTTAGACAACTTACATTGGACCCTCCCGAGGTGGTTGATGTGTTGCCCAGGCCAGTTACCCGATTTTGGCACCCAATTTTGGCCTATTTTCATTCTTAAGTGTGAGAAAAGTGTCTTTTTGGACTTAGTTTTCAAACCAGGAATCCCGTGATAGTTCTGTAAGTTTCCACAACTTAAATTGGTCCCTTCAAAGGTGTTTGAGGGTTTCCCCCGGCCATCTCGTGACTGTTACACGACATTGGCACCCAATGGCTAATTTTCATGCTTAAGTGCAAAAAAAGTGAGATTTTTTACTTAGTTTTCGAACCAGGAGTCCCGTGCTACTTCCGTAAGTTTCCACAACTTACATTGGTCCCTCCCGAGCTGTTTGAGGCGTTCCCCGGGCCTTCTCGTGACTGTTACACGATTTTGGTCCGTGAAGGCCTATTTTCAAGCTTAAGTGTGAAAAAGTGCATTTTTTGAGTTAGTTTTCAAACCGTGAGTCCCGTGCCAGTTCTGAAACTTTGCACAACGTACATTGGCCACTCCTGCGGTGTTTGAGGCATTCCCGATCCTTCTCGTGACTGTTACACGATTTTGGGACCCGATGGACTATTTTTAAACTTAAGTGTGAAAAAAGTGTCTTTTTCGACTTAGTTTTCAAACCGGAAGTCCCGTGCTAGTACCGTAAGTTTAGACAACTTACAAGGGGAAACGAAAATATCAGGTTTGTCTATATTTAACTTCAGAATTTTGTATCCCTTCTAAGTTCTAGGTATCAACATCAGAACACACAACTTTTCATACCATATAACATAAGCAGCAGCCTGGGCTTGAAATTTTCAAAAAAATAAAGCCCTATGATTTATATCTTTCTCGATATGCAAAAAGTCAAGCACTTGGCATGAGCCCATTGCTCGAAAGGACTAGGTTGCAATTCAAGTTACTGATCATCACAACACCTACCCAAAGAATGCAAAAATTGCAGAGTTAAACTCTTATTTGAAGTTCAAATCCTAGAACTACGGTTTCAGCAGAAACTCTCTATACAACATTAATTTCATGTTCGTATGCATAATTGCACACCAACGCATCATTTTTAAGCATGAGAATGCTTCATCATCATCCTGATGAGAAAAATAGCCACATAGACCAACCAAATTAAAGAAATATTTAGATTGCCAGGTAGACCAAAAAATATGGATGAAATATACAGGAAGGGCATCTCAAATTTTAGTGCAAAATATTTATACATGTGTGCTTAATATTCAAGGTGAATGGGTACCAAATAATCCATAAGGCAACCAAATAATCTTCTTGACTCCAAGATATGCTTTAAGTTCATCCTCAACTAGCTCTTTAGTCAAATGAGGGTTCCTGTTTTTATTCAAGAGGCACTTCTCGGTAGTAAGACAAGTCCTTAAAGGAAGGAAACAATTTATGAACAAATCTGAAATATGCAATATTCGAAACCATAAGAGTACAGCTAGAAATCTAGTTTTGAAATGTGTTTTGTGTAAACAACAAACTATACAGTGATGCATTAGTTGATGAGACAAATAGAATATGACCTAAAGAATCATTACAGAAAGAAGAACAATAAGCAGAGGATTGATGAAGGTTCATTATTGGAAGAGAAGAAGGAAAGGAAGTCCTATGGCCCCTTTAATAATAAAAATAGTGAGATATCATCAAGCATCACCCTAATAGATTTTATATTCCTTGTGTTATTAGATTATAATATATTACTATTCTAGAGATTTCGGTTTGGAGATTGGGAACATGTGCTTTGAAATATGTCACACTTCATTCCAAAACATAAAATTTAATGATCTAAAGTGATCCATAAAATGTATTTATTCCTAAACTTTTTTTTTAAAAAAAAATAAAATGTATTTTTTCACATAAATATAATGAGAAAAATTGTAATCAAAATTGGTTTCCAAAAAAGTTCAAGCCTGATCTATGAATCACCAAATAATCCCTTTTTTTTAGTTCAATGTTGCCCTATAATCCCAACATCTAGACTGTACTAACACGAAGTGTCAGTACAACTTACATTGAGGGAATTCCAAGGGTATCAAGAACTATCCATGGTGTTTTTTCCAAATCAGATTCACCCATGGCGGTAGTGACAGAGATATCATTTCTTCATAGAAAATGAAAGTGATTTTAATAAGCAGCTGGAATAAGGCACTACATTACTCGGCTAATGTAACCCCTTCCTGCTCCATCCCTCCCTGCCCAACGTCAATTGTTTGTCCAATAATGCTACTACAAAAGATTCTTAGCTTTTCATTCATAAGAAATGAATTTTAAGACCAAGACCTATTAAAACAAAGGAGCAGCTATATTACACAATTCTGGTGCAATTCTAAGCAACCAAAAGGCAGGTAATTATCTTCTTCTATTTCTCTGTATACGTATCATTTTGTTTAAAGTGGCTTATGAACACTTAACAAATTACAGCTGAGGTGGTTAGAAATGGAATTTGTTAAAAACTACTTTATGCACTTTTAACATCTTGAATATCTTGAATAAAGAAAGGGGGATCAACTTTGTACTAGCCTCCAGTATAAAAAATTTAAGCAATCTCTTCGCCAGCTATACATGTGCATGTTATCATATATGTACGAATGAATGAATTGGCGAGAGAAACAACCAAATGTTCTTCAAATATAAATGTATCAATTAAAAAAGGCCAAACATGGCCATGTATAATTTCCTTGTAATGTAAAACACGATACCTTCTCCATCTACGTGAATGGCTCCACCTTCAAGAATCATAGAGTGAGGAAACCTAGGAACTCTCTCGACTTCCAAAATCTAACAGTTAAAGAAAAAAGTTTGAGAGAATATAAAAAGGAGTGTACTCTCCACACACACACACATGCACACGCGCGCGCGCGCACACAAAAAAAACATGTAAAAAATTGAAACAAACAACTTTCTAACCTTCCTTGCCGCATGAATAATTGATGCCTAGAAATTTCAAACCAATCAAAGTGCAATTACTTTTATTTAGATAGATCAATAGAATAGAATTTTACTTTTCTCAAAGCAAAAAACTATACAGCAATAATAGATGGAAACTGATGCTATTTGTTAGTAATTGCACCAAAGTATAGGCGATGATATCAAGTATCAAGCAACACTTAATCAGGACAATGATTAGCAGTATTTTGTGGTTCCAGCGCAAGGGTAACCCAACTAATGGACAAGAAAAAGCTTTGGAATCTTACAATTGATTATTGTTCAAAAGCATCATTATTTACAAATATGCATCAGTTATCACTATTCCAGCAAGGAAGCAATGGTTGAATCATGTTTGCATACACTCGATAAATTGCTGAATAAATGGATTGCTAAAAAAGAGTAGTTACAAGTTATACGATTCATTAGTTCTTGCCAAAGACCCAACTGTGGCACTTTCAGAAAGTTCTAAGGGAATATTAAATAATTTAACATAGTAGAAATTATAAATACATATTCTACAGCCTAACCTCCATAGCTATTAAAGTTCCAATCAATTCCGGCAAGCATCCGCTCCAGGTTCCCCAAACTTGATTTGTTGTCTCTTATGACAAACTACCCAAACAGATGTCATCATTTTAGAGGTTAAATAAACTTTTCAGTTCATAACAATATCAAGAAAAGCATTACCAATAAGAAGGAAGATACTCACAGTTGCTCCCAATTTGCTAAGCAGTCACACAAGGAGGGTTCTTTCCATTCTAGTTGCTCCCAATATGTATTATTATTTCTTCTATGATTTTGCTAAGCAGACACAAATGAGGAATAAAATGATTAATATTTGCTCTCAATAAGTATTATTTCTTCAATTGTGATTTTGAGGTTGGAGCTAGTCCTAGGCATTTGTACATCAACTTCTCAGCACACCAAAATCCCATCCAATCAATTTCCATTTGATTCAAATTCTTGTTAGCCCTCCAACATATAGGAGAATATAATGATTGATGTTGGCCCTCCAGTACTAGTAAATCAATGACAGCCTAAGTTTTCTAATCCAAGATTAAATAGTCCATTTCCTGCGTATAGCCCATTTCCTGCGGTATAGCCCATTTCCCGCGTTTCAAATATTAAAATAAAACGAACTTCAAATTAATTAATTTGTGGGTTTTTTTTTTTTTTTTTTTTTTTATTATTATTTTGATCAATCACATTATGTTGTCACACATACATACATGCATCTATTTATGCGATAAGTTTCAAATTTGATGTAATTGCCTTATGAAAGTAAGTTATACTAATACCTTGCAAAACAACAATAACAATGGCATCAGAATCAATCTTCTTTAGATGGAAGTTAATATTATTTTTATCAGAAGAATAAAAAATTTGGTAGTATTCAAAGTAGATGATTTTTTTTATGCATCCTTGGAATATATATCTTCTTCTGTTGAACTTTTTCAGGTGCAGATGAAGAGTGCATCAGAGACAAAACAGAGCAAGAACAGGGGCAGGACAGTGCGACCGAAGAGTTTGAAAAAAATGATGCCCAATTCTCTGACTCGGCAAAGTTAGAGGAGATAGGAAAATCATTGAGCATGAAAAGGGAGGAAGGGAAAATTAGGGCACTCTCGGGACGTGTATTCAATTTCCAGGGCAAAAACTTAAGAATTCACATTCGACTGACTAACCATCTCGAACATTCTCATCCTTGGAATAGTCTAATTTAGAAGCCAAATTGAACACAAAAATGAATATATAACACAAAGAGAATCAAATTCTACAGATATAAGTTGAAATTCAAACAACTAAATTTGGCACAATTAATATGTATGTATGTAAATATATAGCACATATTATGTATGTAAAATTATTAACCTTGTCAATTGTGGCGAAAATGGACATGTTCTTGAAATCCCTCAACCCCAGCCGCTGAATCAGCGCAGACGACATCCGGGTGGGGTGGATGCCGCCACAGCAGGAAGAAGCGATTTCCTCTCAACCAAACTGGCCCGGCGGCTTAAGGAGGAGGTGGAGGGGCTCTCACAGTACTGCTCATCATCATCGTCATTTTCTCCGGTGATTTTTTCCCGGTGGTAGCGGCGTCGTTTTGCCAACTGCGAAAGCTCTTTCTTCGCGGTGGCCTTGTCTTTGGATCCCGAACCCATTTCCGCAAATTTCCTTAGCAGTTCATCTGATGAAGCCTTCACTCCGGCTGTCCATTCTAGAGAGAGAGAAAGAGAGAGAAACCCTAATCAAAACTTTTCAGAGAGCGATAGGAAATCGTAATGAGGAGAGAGGAGAATAGAAAGATGTAAGAGGAACTTTGTCTCCGTTGCAATTTTGTGAGAGAAATGTACCGTTGGGCGGGGGCGGGGGCGGTGGTGAATATAGCCGTTGTTGGGTTGGGAGGATACAAAACGATAACAATTAGGGCGTTAGGGTTAGAGAGATCCCTAGAATGAATGAGATGGATCGGACATGTGTCCCATTAATAGAATGAAGGGTTGTAATTAATTCGTTTTGGTGAGGAAAAACTATAAAAAAAAATAATAATAATAATGACGAAGAAAGAAAAAATATGAATAGAATGAGAAAGAAGCTTCAAACTGTATCATCATTATGGATTTTGATCTATGAGATTTAAATAAATAAAAAAGAAGATTAAATCGATTCGATAATAAGATTGTTTTAAATCTTTATCATCATTATCACCATCAAAAGATTGAAGAAGAAATGTGAACAGAATGAGAAAGAGGTTTCAAACTGTATCATTATCATGAATTTTGATTTGTGAAATCTAAATAAATAAAAAATAAGATTAAATCGATTCAACAATAAAATTGATTCAAATATGTATCATCATCATCATCAAAAGATTGAAGAAAACCAGTGAAAAAAATGAGAAAGAGGCTTCAAAAGATTAAATCGATTTGTTGATAATAAGATTGATTCAGATTTTTATCATCATCATCATCATCAAAAGATTGATCTAGATATGTATTTCTATATGCATATATTTACAGACCTTACAAAGAAGATTAAATCGATTCGATAATAAAATTGATTCAGATCTTTATCATCATCAACATCAAAAGATTGATTTAGATATGTATTTCTATATGCATATATGTATATTTACAGACCCCATAGTCCGATTGATTCAGATCTGTATCATCATCATCATCATCAAAATCAAAGTGAGCAACAAAATCAGCAGATCCGATCAACGGACATGGAGATCAGCGGAGGAAATCGGTGACAGAAGGTCTTCCATGGCTGACTTGAACAAGGGATGTTCATCATCATCATCGTCGAGGGCTGATTTGTGAAGCACTAGTGTATAGATCAAGAACAAGAACCACTCACTATCCACTTGAATCAAAAGATTTCTAAAATGAAGTAGAGTCTCAACTCAAAATCAAAGCTCTGTCCCTTCTCTTGCTCCGGTCCTTTCTCTCTCCCTCTAACTCTCCCACGAATTAGTGAAAGCGAACCTAGAAAGTTGATTTCTATTTGTTGTTGTTGTTGTTTTTTTTTTTTTTTTTTTTTTTTTTTTGGTTAGTTTTATTTTGAACTGTTGGATCACTCACTTCAGAGAATCCCACTCTAGAGGATCCTGATAGACAATTAGGCGCCTCCCACATGTTCGTACTCGCTGGCAACAATGCTGACTACAATCCAATAAAATAAGGGAGAATTACTTAATCGTGGACTTTGAGAAAAGTTATTAAGAGTCACTGATTTTTTTTTAACAACAGTAAAGAGTACAAAAATTATACAAGAAAATGACATTTTTTGTATTGATTTCGGTTGCATGTGGTTTACTTTTGGAATTGTGATTCTAATAAATAAGAATAATATTATATGTATTAATTAATGTACCAATTGATGATGTGACATAATTTAAGATATTTTTAGGATTTGTAATGTTATTAATGAGTGGGGGGTCAATAATAATATCATAACTAGTGTTGATGTACTAGTTAGTACATTAATTGGTACATGCAACACTACCGAATAAAAAAAAATTCAAAATTCTTTTTCCAAATGTGTAATCAAACATACAAATCAAAATTTAATTCAAAATTTTTTTCAAAACTCACAACAAAACTCTTTTCAAAATTTTATTTAAAGAAAAATTTTAAAAGATATTTTTTTATTTTATTTTTTAAAATCATGATTTGAGTGTAGAGTTGTATTTTCAATTATGAATTTTGAGTTGAGTTTTGAAAAGAGAAAAATTTGTTTGGTTATGAATTTTGAAAAGAGTTTTGAGTTGTATATTTTTAATGTGCACTGTATTTCACATAATTATGCACTGTATTTTTTTAAATATTTAAAAATTTTAAAAAAATTATTTTTTTTAAATATATAATTTTTATTTTTTTATTTCAAATATTTTATTTTATTTAAAAAATATTTTTTTAATATTTTAATATTTTAAATATTTTTAAGGAAAAATCGGTTTAAGGTCCCTATCCAACTTTTAGTAATAGATTAGGTCCACAATGTGTTCTTTTGTAGCTTAAGGTCCCTCAATGTTATTTTAGAGTGTAAAATACCTGTCTTACCCTTGTTTATAATATACGTTGTTTTGAATTTGGCAGCTAAAGATCATATTGATATTTTGTGGGAGATTACGTGAGGATGAACTTGACGATTCAGATTTTTGTGGAGATTTTCTAGGGTTTTTGTAGGTGTTGAAATCCTGTTCGTTGTTTGTAGGTGTTGAAATCCTGTGCGAGTTGAAATCGTGTTCGTTGTTTGTAGGTGTTGATCGATCGTGTAGGAGTTGAAATCTGGTTCATTGTGTTTGGTTTGATTTCATGTGGAGTTGAATTAGATAAGTTTTCAATTTTTGATTTGATTTGATCGTGTAGGTGTTGAATTAGGTTTTTGTTTTTAGTTTTGATCAATGTGAGAGAGACGAACTCAGTGTTGTTGTTTTTGATTTTTGAAGTTAATTTTTCATTATCTATTATTGATGAATTTTCGATGGAGTTGATTTTGATTTTTGGAGTTGCTTTTTCATTCTCTGTCAACATGGTTATGAGTTCCTTTTTGGTGCTCTGTTTTTCTGCGTTTTGTGCTCTGTTTTTTGTTCACTTTGCATTTTTTGTGTAGTGCAGAGAAAATTGCAGGTTTGTTACTATAATTGAACTCAAATCACAGAGAAAATTGTAAACTTGTAGTGCAGTGAAAATCACAGAGAAAATTGTAAGTAGGCAGAGAAATTTACAGACGTAGCAATAGAGCAGTAATACAGAAAATTGATTAGAAAGATTAGTTTCTTCATATTGAACGTCAGGTGGAGTAGGTCGAGAATACCAATTTTTAGTAAGAGTAGTAGGTTGAGGTTTAGGATAGTGGAGTTTATTAAGATTAGAATATTGAAATTGTTGAGTTAATTGATTATGTTAAATCCACCACTACTGAAATAGATAAGGAAAATCAATAATAAACAGAAGACAGTTTAAATAAATAAACATTAATAAAACTTACAATTGATTACTGGAATGAAGCAAGCAGTTCTTCCAAATACAAAATTTGAAAACAATTTTCAAAAATATAAAATAACAGAGAAAGCTATTTTCTTGAGGAAAGGAGTGCTCTCAATTTTCTAACTCTGCCTTATTCTTGAATGAAGAGGCTTTTTATAACCAAAAGAGACGATTGTTAGACTTGCGAGTGAATACTGTGAGCCTTGTGAGTGAATGATTCTGACTTGAAAGGAGCATCAGGAGCACATGAGAGTTGTCTGCTGCTTTCGATGAGTGACTAAAGTTGATGGCTGCTTTTTACTGTGCTGAATTTGTCGGTTGGATGAATTATGATGAATGATGAATAATAATGTTGACTTTTTGATGAATAGTGAACAGTAAAGTTGACTTTTTTCACTATTCATCTCTTGGAGGCATGTGACTGAGGGAATCAATATAGATATATATATCAGCAGCTTTTCTCAAAAATAAGTATTGATTGAAACTGATAATTATAGCTATATAGAATCCAATGATTGAATTAAACATATGAGTCCTGAGCATCTTGGAACTCGGGTCTATATGGATTTTGAGAAGTTGAACCTTCAGAAGAGTGTGAACTGTCTGAACCATCTTCTGAACTGCTGTTATCCGAGTCTGACTTGGCTTGGGCCATAAGGAGACGAGCCATTTGGAGGAGCTCATCTTTGGATGACTTGGACTTGGGCTTAACCTTTGATTTGGACTTATCCTTTAACTTGGGCTGGTTAGTACTGGGCTTTGCTGACTTGGATTTAATCTTTGATTTGGATGACTTGGGCATGGAAGAACTGGATGATGGGCTTCCAAGATTGACTGGAGGAAGTTGGCTTTCTTGTGTTAATAGATCAGTTGGGTTCTGCTGAGCTTTAATCATGGCAAGTGTGGGGGCATGAATGTTGATTGGGAATTCAGTTTGAACAATTTCAACAATTCATGGAATCTTGAAATTATTCCACCATTTAACCATGTGTTGCCGGTGAATAACATCATCAGAAATACCATATTGCCATTTGAATATCCAAGGGATTTTGTATTTGGATATAAAAATAAGTAATGGAGGGAATTTCCTTTGCTGAGGAGTGAATGAGAAAACAGTGGAAAAATAGTTGACTTGATCCATAATGACTAATGGGAAGATTTCTGAAATGGCGCCATATTGAGTCCACCATCGCAGAAACCAGGTAGGTAATTCGGATTTGAACTTTTGATCAAATTGAAGAAACAAAGAGTGACTATTTGACTCATTTTGATACAAGAGGACTTTGAACCAAGCATCAATGTAATCATAGTAACTGTATTGAATTGAATGACTAGGAAGATCTCGTAGTTGATAAGGAGAACCCCAATCAACCAGAGAGACAAAGTTGTGAATATAAAGTGAATGGTACACAATTTTACTTGTGTAAGTGCGATCATAAATGGGTTTAATCACAATTGACTGATTATTGAACAGGATGTCTTTGTAGAAAGTAATTGTTTTTTCTGGATGGAGAGGAATAAAATGCCATCCAAAAGGGAAATAAGATTTAACCAGATCATGAACAGTATGACTCTTTAGGTGACTAGGTTTTTTTAAAAAGAGATTAGTAGTAGTGGATTTAACATAATCAGATCGGGCTGATTTAATAGGATTAGGAGGGTATGGAGTAACTGCTTGACTAGATGAAGCAAAAGGATCAATAGCCAAAG